CCCCACCCATTAGAGCCTCTTCTACCATGCTCTGCTGATCTACTTGTGTTTTAAAATGTCTAATTGTCAGAGCACCTGAGTGGCTCAGTCAGTTGAGTGTCCAACTTCAGTCCAGGTCATGATCTTCTGGTTCGTGAGTTCAAGCTCCATGTCAGGCTCGCTGCTGTTAGCATAGAGCCTGCTTGGGCTCTGTCTCCCTCTCTCAGCCTCTCCCTGCTCATACTCTAAAATAAATATTAAATTATTTTATTTACTTTGAGTATTATTAAATACATATTAAAAAGTAATTAAATAAAATGCCTAATTGTAACAGTGTTCCTATAAGTGTTAAGGCCTTTTTTATTTTACCAATGTAAGCAGACTAATGGAGATATTAATACTTTTAAAAGAAAACCAATTTGATATTTGAAGTTCTCATATGCTTCAGATATTTTTATGAATATTGCCCAAATGAAACACAGGAAAAATAGATAGCCAATCAATCTGCATCTTATTTAAGGTTTAGCATATCATATTAAATGAACAGTTACCTTTACTAATAGGATTTCATTAATTTCTTTTTAGAAAAATTTCATTAAAATACTTTTATAACATAGCAAATTTTGAACATAACATTTGATTTGTAGCTGATGCACAATGGGAAAAAGGTTCTTTTGATAAAAATTTTCAGTATTCTTTTCTTAAACTTAACCTTATGTTGACCTGATGAGAAAATAAAAGCGATGTGATTGATTAGTTTCTGTGATACTTAGAACAAAATTTATCTTTTGATATGTAAGTGATTTAAAATGGACAGGTTCTTTAACTAGATGTCTTAGCCACAAGATGGTGTCCTAACATTAGCAACCAATGGGTTTTGCTTGCAAATAGAAGTGACTTCACTTGGCAAAAATGTTTTTCAGGTTGAAAATGCCAAGTGCCCATGCATAAAAATAATTACTTCTTAGTCTGTACCCTTGTGCAAAATGTCCTTGGAAAAACGTATTGTTCAACTCAATTTGATTAACTCTCTTTGTTGTAATTTATATTTATTTACATTAATGCTACACTGGAATACTCAGTTCATTAACTTCTAATTTAGCCAAAACAGAGAGGAAAACTGTTTTCCATGCAAATCACAAGTTTTCAAGTGGCACAATAGTTGAACTTTGTGTGATGTACAGTTTATCGCATGCCATGAGAAATACACATAAGAATTCAAGGTTTTTTTTAATCTTGTTTTTTTTTAATTTCCATAATGGTTTGGTTTTGAAATGAGAGATGATAACATCCAGTTTATCTTGAAACTGACTTTTTAAAATTTGAATATGGTAAGTTTCAGATGTTGGTTTTTGAACTGAATTTTTGAATTGAATTTTTCTGCTTTCAAAAACCAACATTTATTGCAAGGGTCCCGAGAAATCTCTGGTCCTAATAATCCTTACTGGTTCTCTGAGACTTCTGAACACGTGCAAGAGACTTTCTAATGTCACATCCTGGGGGAAAAGAGGTTGGATACATTCTATTGCTTTTAAGAGAGCCTGAATAAAAGAAGAAATTGTTTCAGATAAAACTAAGTACACTAAAACTCCATTTTAACACTGTCATGAAAGAAAGCTAGATTTTCCCTGCAATTGAAAGTGGAATTTTTTTAATGTTTATATTTTATTTTTGAAAGAGACAGAGCATGAGAGGGTGAGAGACAGAGACAGAGGGAGACATAGAATCAGAAGAAGGCTCCAGGGTCTGAGCTGTCAGCACAGAGCCTGATGCGGGATTCGAACTCACAAACTGTGAGATCATGATGTGAGTTGAAGTTGCACACTTAACCAACTGATCCACCCAGTGCCCTGAACGTGGAACTTTTGCTTTGAAAAGATGTTTTCCATTTTTTTGGTTATCTCTTTAACGAGTTGTTAAAAAGAATGTTTTGCAGACCATTCTGTATTTTCATCCTGAAAAGTTCATATAAAATCACTTGGCTATGTCAGAGGACAAGAAAGAAAAGTATCACAGTGATAAATATTGTAATCACTTCATAAGTTATTCTCTACATGAATGGTACATATGTGCATTTTATAGAAATTTCGGAAATACATCTGACAATATAAGAAAAAAATATAGGGGCACCTGGGTGGCTCAGTTGGTTAAGCATCTGACTTTGGCTCAGGTCATGATCTCATGGTTCATGAGTTCGAGCCCTGCATCGGGTTCTGTACTGACAGCTCAGAGCCAGGAGCCTGCTTCAGATTCTGTGTCTCCCTCTCTCTGCCCCTCCCCCTTCTCTCCCTCTCTCTCTCTCTCTCAAAAATAAACATTAAAAAATTAAATAAGAAAAAATACCATATATATACCCTTGAACTTAGTGCTGACTTTAAAACCTATTCTATAGAATTGAAAGTGCCAGTCTATAAGGTTTTATACAGTATACTATAATCTTTACTTCAGCATTGCTCATTGAAGCCAAAAATAAAAACAAAATAATACTGTAATGAAGTATAGGCCCATCAAAAAATGGATGATTGAATACATTATAATATGTCTATATGGTGAAATACCATTTAGCTGTTTAAAGAATGAACTGTTGCTATGAAGCAATACAATTTGGATTGAGGGACTTATACTATGTATTGATGAAAGAGAAAATTAAGGGATTTATAATAAGATACCATAAAAAATAACACACAACAGAAACTAGCCATTCTGACAGGTGTAAGGTGATATCTTATTGTGGTTTTGATTTGCATTTCTATGATGATGAGTGATACTGAGCATCTTTTCATGCACCTGTTGGCATCTGGATGTATTCTTTGGAAAGATGTCTCTTTTAGGCCCTCTGTCCATTTTTCACATTGTTTGTGTTTTTTCTTGTGTTGAGTATGAGTTCTTTCTATATTTTGAATATTAACCTCTGATTGGATATATTATTTGCAGATAGGGAATATAGTCAATAATACTGTAATAACTTTGTGTGGTGACAGATAGTAACTACCCTTATCATGGTCAATAATTTGTAGTGTACATAAATGTCAAATCATTCGCTGGTACACCTGAAACTACTATAATATTGTATATCCACTATACTTCAATTTTTAAATTTAAAAATGACAGAAAAAAGTCATATATTTACAATGCATGTAAATGCATTGTATATTTATATATGCCAATGCATGTTTCTACATGATTAATTAGACATGAAAAAAAACATGGAAGAATTTATGTTAGCTTATTTATATGGGATCCTTCTTGAAGGCTCTTATAGTCAGGTTCCCTGGAGAGTACCCTCTGAGATAGAGATTGGCATGCAGGAAGTCTATGTAGGAGTGCTTCTTGGATCCACCATGGAAGGGAAATGAAGGAAAGCGGGTTAGGCTGGGGGGAGGTGAGTGGGGCGTTGGACTGTGACACAATCACAACATTCTCTCAGCAGATCATAGGGGATCTCTGGAGCTGGGATGTTCCTTCATGGTCACTGCCAACTGGAGTAAAGGAGCCTATTTGCCCTACCTTCTCTGTCTGTATTCTCCCTTTCTACCCTCTTCACTGACTAGTCATTGGGTATGGACTGCACCCAGTAAGGAGGTGTGAGGCTGTGGCTGTAGCGCTCATTGCCTGAGGCTTCGTCATCACAAGAGAGGATTCAGCTCTGAGGCATCAACTATCAACATGCCCCTCGCTTTAGTCTTGAAGGGGGTGAGGAAATCTAGTCGGCACACCATAACATCCTCTAAAGAATGGGATAATGAATAACATGGTTGAAATGGGGGAGGAGAGAAGAAGAGGTAGCATACAAGAAAAGAGAAAAGTAATTTTGATATAAGCATTTAAACAAGTGATTGTTCTGGGCAAGCCATCATGGTGGCCTACACTTGGCTGCCAGTGGAGGCGAGGAAGAGGGTGGACACAGTCAAGAAATGCTTAGGACCTTGGTGATGATTTAGATGTGGAGGCCAAGATAAGAGGAATTGTTAAGTGTAAATATGAGGTTTCTGACCATATCAGAAACACTTGGTGAAAAAATTCCCTTTTCCTTTCCCAATAGTCCTTACTCTTCTTTGTATTCCCACTAGCTCTTCACTCAAGTCTTCATTTATTGTAATGCCCATTTCTTCATTTGTGCTTGAACACTTTCCTTGTGTTACACAATGAACTCCTTTCCTTTTCTTATTTGCTAAATCACAGATTTTTACCCATGAGTTTCCTCCTCTTGGTTCATTCACAAAGCATCTTACTTGTTCCTAACTTTTTCCTCTGGATATGCTCTGTGTGAGAATTATAATGGGTGGAAGTAGCATCCTACCAACTAGACGCTTGGTGTCATGAAATTTCCTTCAAGTTTGTGACCTTGAAACTACCCACTTTTAGTTACCATGTATTTCCATCTTGCTTTTGTCACCTTCTTCATAAACACCCCCTGGCTATCAAAGACACATCTTTTGCCCTTTCAAGATTACTAATATCGGGTGTCTAGGCATTTCAAAACACAGCCTAGACAGAAGTAACACAGTTCATCCTAAAACTGTTAAGTTATTCCTCAAACACATTTTGTATTTGTCTAAAAAGAAAATGTTTGAAACAAGTCTATCAAACATATTCCTGTTCCAGCACTGAGTAGATTCTCCTGAACTCATATCAATAAAGGAGAAAATAAAGGAGCTTCAATTATTTTGTGTGTTTCCTGTTCAGTTAGAGGTTATAAATATAAAGGGAAATGAAAAAATATAGTAAGACCAATATTTAGTACACTGTAATTTAAAACATTAGAAATGCTAAGAATTTAAGTGTTTTATTTTTGAAAAAAAATCACATGTGGTTTCATTAATGTTTGCCTTTTCTTCTAATATAACTTAGCATATGGAACTGCCATCCTTTTTTTAATGTCTTGAATTGCAATTCTCCTTTCAAAATTTGGATTCATTTCCAAAATTTCATCTTTTGCACTTTCAATGTTGTGAAACACCTCTAAGAGTTCATTTAACGTGAAGTCTTTTTTGTTTTTTTCCCCCAGTGTCACTTCTCTGGCATATCTTCACTGACTTTCTTCATAACCACCCATGGACGTCCATAAATGTAAGAACATCCGATTTCACTTCCAGAAATACTGTGTTTTACTTTCTTGTTACACTTTCATCTTCTTACCCATTGTCTCTTTGGACTGCACAATATTCCCACTGTTACCTGGGTTTATCACTGAGAGACTGGCGTGGAGGCAACACAACTTTAAACTTTACCGTCTGAAGGTAAGTGGGACAACAGATGCACAGTGGCCAATCACCAATAGACCTGGAAAGAAGTGACACGAGTGGTAAGTGATAGTGATGGGCACCTGCTATTTATGTAGTGATTTGTGGGCTAAGGATTCAGCACCAAAGTGTGTTCTTGACGCAGTGTATTCAGAGAAAATGTACCATGGTAACGGAAATTGGAACCATGTTGCTGAGGAACTGTTGTTAAACTCTAGTAACGGAAATTCATGCATATTGGAAACATGTGAAGCGAGGGCTGCCTGTATATTTGATCAATGGTGAAGGAGAGAGCAAAGCAAACAAACAATTTTGGGAAATGCCTGAGGCTAGATAAAAGAGAGAGAAATATGAGTCCTCCTCCAATTTGTATTTGGATTATTTCTTAATTTAATGAGAGAAGCATTACAGAGAAAGGTAGCATATGTGCAGTGCTTTGAAGTGAGGAAAACTAATAACAGCTCCTATTTATTCACTATATTTAAATCTTGGGCTTTTAAAAAAGGTGATATTTTCAAGTGGTTAAAATTTCAAGAGAAATGGAAGTCTGTACAGTGGAAAGATCTTCCTAGAGACCCTATCCCAGCTTCTAGGGTCTTTTGGGTGAGGGCAACTGACATTACCCTTCCAGAGATAATCTCTGCATATGTCAGCAAACATGTTTACAAACGCAAATAATTTTCTCCCCTTTAAAACACCAGTTCTAAGCAGCTAATATCTACTATTGATCATTTGCTGTATGCCAGACAATGTGCTGATCTTCATATGCATTGTCTTCTTTAATCCCCCAATAACCTTTGAGTTATTACTGTCATTACTGCAGAGGAAATTCCAACTCTGGGAATTTAACTTCTTTTCCCCAAATCATGCAGCTGCTATGTGGTGAAGCAGCTATTCTCACCCAGATATTCTGAATTCTCAAGTGCAGGCTCTCAGGCTCTGTGCGTAGGTCATGTAATAGGATTTTAGTAGTTGAACAGTCCTTTTATGGTCCTAGAAATTCTTGCAGCTAAATCAGCCTACGATAATACTGTGCTCGGGGATGGGGGTGGGGGGGCGCGGCTGAGAGAAACTAAAGTATTTCCAAAAGTATCAGCTCTCTGTTTCTCTCAGGAGATTGTTTGGCTACCATCTGTACTGGAAAATTGGCCAGGTTACTTGGAAAGAGCCCAAACCCAAGTGCGGGTCTACGATCTGTTCTCCTGGACTGCCAGATAGCCTCAGTCCTTGGTGGGCAGTGGAATTCCATCTGACACTCAGCACGCGCACACGTGCGTGTGTATATGAGTTTGTGCGTGTGTGTGCACGTATCATAATTGTTCACTATTTCACTTAAAAACAATTATATCTATTAAGAGTCTTGATCATGCATGATAGAAATAGAAAGTTTAGAAAAGGTAACAACATATGAGCAACAGCCTGTACGCCTTTCTGATTTCATAAACTGAGTGCTACTTGACAAACAGTCTGTTGTAAGCAGACACTGCCGTTGTCAGTTCTCCTTAGCGACCATGCATGTTTTCTAGTCGCCTGCTTCCTGAATGCATCTCTCGGTGCCCTCTTGGAGGAAGTAGGCAAGGAATGTCTCATGCAGGAATCTGTGTTCTCCCTTCTCTCCACTACACATGCCTCTTACTTTCCTCTGTTACCTTAGAGGTGCTGAACGTTTTCTCTGCTGGCTTTTATCTAAGAGCAGATAGCTGGAAGGTGAAGTTCAAAGTTTTAAAAAGTCAAGTGAACTTTCTTGGCTTCAGGAAGTTTGGGTCCAAATTTCAGTAAGAGATGTACATGCTCACACACACACACACACACACACACACACACACTCTATCCTGGGATATCTTGGCATGCAGACTAAGTCTTCTCCAAGGAAGCTTTACCCTTTCAAATGAACCATACAAAATCTGATTAGTAGCTGAACAGGAAAGATGGTCATTCTCAAGAGATGCTAGTGTTAGGGGAACTATATTGTCTTTGCCTGCGGGTCTGAGAGCCTGGGATCTTGGCATCACTGGGTGTTAGTGTTCAGGAGTAATACAATCCATCATGACATTTAGGGGGTTGGAACCTTATCTTTCTGTTTACTACATTTTTGTCTAGAAATCTGGCCTCCACTTGGCTCTCAATTCCAGGAACTTGCTTTTTGATTTGGGAAAGCTCCAGTCTTTATTTTAAATATTAGATAAAGAGTAAAGATTATATCCATCTGTAAAATATTTATTTATTAAAATATATTACAATACATATTATATATTATTAAATATATATTAAAATATATTTATTATTTTTGCAATCATATCTGAGAAATTAGGTTAGTTAAAATATTTTGGTATAGAGGCAGCTATGTCTCAGTTGATGATCTCATTGGCTACTTTATTTAAATAAAGTTTGAGCTCGGCCAATATAAGCTCCATCACTTTGCCCTCTTCTTTTTTCAAAGTCTCTTCCCTCCTGTATGATTCTGGCTTGGGAGGGACGTATCCTACCAGCCTCTCCCTAGGCCCTTCTTCTTATTCCCTGTTCTCCCCTGGAACCTAATTCTATCCCTTGCTTCTCAAGTCCTTCCTTTGTTTCTAGCTCCTTTCCTCATTCTGACACACTCACAGGCACCCTCTACTCTCTTGCACCTTCAGTTACTTAAAAAAGAAAAATTTTTCAAAAGAGCCTTCTGTACTCTCCACTTCATTTCCCTGAACCTGGTCTTCTGTTCCCACCTCCGCCAAAGCCATGATTCCAAAATAACCAGTCACTTACTGCCCACTCACCCTGATGGCCTTTCAACCCATAAAATCATTAGGCTCTCTGGCATTTGCTGGAAATTCTCTGGTCTCACGGCTTTCAAGATGAATCTTTTTTTTTTTTCTGCCTTGCTATTTTTATGTTCCTTTTCTATATCCTATCAAGGGTTCCTTATATAATCTCCCCTAATTATAGAGCTCCTCCAATTTCTCAAATTTCTATATTAGGATCCCTCTCTATCTCTATCTCTTTACTCTTCTCTCTTCTTTGTTGCTTCAGCCTTTTCACATTTTTCAGTTACCATGTTCAGAAGGACAGCCTCCCAGTTTCCTTTTCTGGAACTAATTTTTTGAAAGCTACAGATCAGCACTTCCAAATGGCATCTGCTTATCTTCACTCACTCATTCAAGCTCACGGAGAAGCGACTCTAAGATAAGGCCTGCTCTAGAGTGTGGAGACAGAAGTGAACGGAACAAAGTCCCTGCCGCACAGAGCTTGCATCCTAGTGACACAAGAAAGCATAAGCAAACACACACGTGTCAGGTGGTGGTAAGTGCCATGGAGAAAACACATCAGATCAGAGGAGAGAGAATGATGGGAAATGTCATGGCTAATTTAGATTGAATAATCAGGAAAGTCTTTGTAAAATGCCCCTTGGACAGAAATCTGAAGGAAGTATGTGATCCATGTTCATATCTAGGGGCCAAGTGTACAAAGAGGCAAACATGACTGGAGTATAGTGAGGAAAAAATGTCCTCTCTCTCTCTCTGTATCTTTATTTCTACTCTCTGATATGTGGATGAAGATATCTGATATATATATAGAGAGAGAGAGAAAGAGAGAAACAGAGAGCAAGAGAGCTCTTTGATGTCTATTTATATATTTATATCTGTGTAAAATTTTATAAACTCACCACTTCTTACATTCTTACACACACGTTCACACATCGGTCTCATATATCTATCTATATCTATATCTGTATCTATATCTATCTACTAATGTATATATAATATACCTAGAGATATTATCAGGGGCTCAGAGTATTGTGGGACATGGTAAAGGACCCTGATCTTTGACTTCAGATGAGAGCAGAGGCCATTGAAGGGTTTTGATCTGAGAAGTAACAAGATCTGACTTACACTTAAAAAGAAATACTTGGCTGCTTTGTGGAGAAAATGATTCTATATACCCAAGTGTGGAAGCAGTTAGACCAGTCAAGAATAATGTGTAATAATGCAAGAAAAGAAGATGGAAGCTTGTACCAAAGTGGCAATGATGAAAATTGTTAGAAGTGATAAGGATCTATTTTGAAGGAAGACCAGAAAAGATTTGCTGAAGGTTCTGGTGTAAGGTATGAGAGTAAGAGGGTCATCAAAAATGACTAGACTGTAGAAACTGGTAGGATGGACCTTCCATTTATTATGGAAAAAAAAAAACCTGGGTTGAAGAGGTTGTGGAGCATGGTGAAATCAGGAGTATGCTATTGAACATGGTAAATATGAGATGTCTGTTAAACATCTGAAGAGAAATATCCATTAAATATTGATACATATAGGGGCGCCTGGGTGGCTTAGTCGACTAAGCGTCAGACTTTCGCTTAGGTCATGATCTCGCGGTTCGTGGGTTCGAGCCCCGCGTCGGGCTCTGTGCTGACTGCCAGCTCAGAGCCTGGAGCCTATTTCAGAGTCTGTATCTCCCTCTCTCTCTGACCCTCCCCTGCTCACGCTGTCTCTCTCTCTCTCCTGGAAATGAGTAAAACATTGAAAAAAAATTTTTTTAAATATTGATACATATATATCCAAAATATATAATTTTGAGTATAGTTGACACACAGTGTTAACAACAGTTTCAGGTATAAAATTTAGTGATTTGACAAGTATATACATTATGCCATGTTCACCACTGATGTAGCTACTATCTCATTACATCACTATTATAGTTTCACTGACTGTATTTCTCATGCTGTGCCTTTTATTCTCATGACTTACTCATTCTGTAACTGGAAGCCTTTATCTTCCTCTCCCCTTCACTCATTTTGCCCATCCTCGCATCCCTTCCCTTCTGGCAAACATCCGTTTGTTCTCTGTATTTATAGGTCTGATTCTGCTTTGCTTTGCTTTGTTTATTCATTTGTTTTGCTTTTAGGTTCTGCTTATGAGTGGAGTCATATGGTATTTGTCTTTCTTAGTCTGACTTATTTCACTTAGCATAATATCCTTTCTGTCCTTCCAGGTTGTCTCAGTGGTAAATCTCATCCTTTTTTATGGCTGCATAATATTCACTAATATTCATATATATATACACATACACACATTTATATGTA